TAGGTGTAGTAATAAACATGTCCCCCCCCCCCCAGGAGAGGGAGGTATGGTTCCAGGTGAAGGTCCCGCTCTCTCACAACCTGATGGTGGGCTGTGATCACCATGGCAACACTAAACCACAAACCACGCCCCGTACAACTCTGAAATGTTTTGTAGAGCCGCCATTTTATTATCCTCGCATTAGCATTATTAGCATTAGCATTCGCCCAGCGCACAAACACAGAGAGACTAACTTATGGCAACACAAAAGAAAACATGGGAGCGGTGGAGATGAGGAGGTGTCATTGTTCTGGCGATTTACTCTGAAGGCTTCAGTAGAAGCTGCTGGGAGTCCCAGCAGCTTCTACTGAAGCCAGTCCCCAACTTCGGGGACTTCCGGCCGGGGACTCCGGGTGGCAGTATACGCCGTGAAGTTGTTTGCGGCCTGCCAGTAAACCCAAAGCAGAAGAAGAAGAAGTGACGTCAGCGGCTCATTTGCGTAATCTTCCCTCAGGGAATTTATTCCGGTGTGAACGCGATCTGTACGAAGTGCATGGGGTAATAAGTGCCGGGGCACTGAGTGCCGGCACTTAGTACGGCAAAGTACTTGGTGTGAACGCGCCTAATGGAAAATGAGAAATCTCCAACGAGGTGTTTTGGGGCAGCATAGACTGTGTTAGAGTTTTACTCGCTTTGAGGGTTTTTGACTCTGCAGACCGTTTCCATGCAGAAACACCTTCATACCACAAGGGGACGGGTAATAACCGGAAAAGCATGACATGGGAGCTTTAAGGGAAGTTTTCCAGATATCCAGAACATTAATTTAAAGTCATGTGAAAGTTGTCTTAAAAATGTCCAAAATAAACCTTTGAAAATGTACCATTACTAATGATTACATGTCTCATTGTAAATATTGCCTCCAGCACAGAGTCAACCCAAACATGTCGTTACAATATCGACATCAAAGTATATATTGTGATATTTACTACACATACTTTTCTGAAATAATTTAATGTTTATCTCCAAATATTCTTGTTTAGGTAAATTGTGTGTTTATGTTTAATGACTTTATGAAGTGTAAGTGTAATAGCAGTTGTATGGTGTATAAAGTATTCAAAGCAGACAGTTTTTAAGCACGTTGAAGATGTTTTGAAGAGCTAAAAGATAAATGGTGTGTTGAAGCAGAATATTTGGTGAGATCTTTTGATCATCTCATCATTTCTTTGTAATAAACGATGGCTTTTGGACTTCACAAAACTCTGGAACTATTTCCTCATCCCTATCTGACACTTTGCACAAGAGCTGTTGATTTAGAGTTTAATTATAAATCGTTATGAATATGTTTTTATAGGCAAGGCAAGGCAAGGCAAGGCAAGTTTATTTATATAGCACCTTTCAACACAAGGCAATTCAAAGTGCTTTACAAAAATGGAAGACATTAAGAAAATGGCATTTAATATCAGTCATTAAAAATAAAAGATAATAAAATAAACATTAAAAGAAAAAATACATGGATACAAGTTACAGTGCAGTTTAAGATGTGAATAGTTCAATTAAAAGCAGCGGCAAAAAGAAAAGTCTTCAGCCTGGATTTAAAAGTAGTCAGAGTTGCAGCGGACCTGCAGGTTTCTGGGAGTTTGTTCCAGATATTTGGAGCATAATAACTGAACTTCTCCATGTTTAGTTCTGACTCTGGGGACAGAAAGCTGACCAGTCCCTGAAGACCTGAGAGTTCTGGATGGTTCATAGTTTAGCAGGAGATCAGAAATGTAGTTAGGGCCTAAACCATTCAAAGCTTTATAAACCAGCAGCAATATTTAGAAATCTATTCTTTGACACACTTGAAGCCAGTGTAAAGACTTCAGAACAGGAGTGATGTGATCCACTCTCTTAGTGTCAGTGAGGAACCAGTGTAAGGACTTCAGAACAGGAGTGATGTGATCCACTCTCTTAGTGTCAGTGAGGAACCAGTGTAAAGACTTCAGAACAGGACTGATGTGATCCACTTTCTTAGTGTCAGTGAGGAACCAGTGTAAAGACTTCAGAACAGGACTGATGTGATCCACTCTCTTAGTGTCAGTGAGGAACCAGTGTAAGGACTTCAGAACAGGAGTGATGTGATCCACTTTCTTAGTGTCAGTGAGGAACCAGTGTAAGGACTTCAGAACAGGACTGATGTGATCCACTCTCTTAGTGTCAGTGAGGAACCAGTGTAAAGACTTCAGAACAGGACTGATGTGATCCACTTTCTTAGTGTCAGTGAGGAACCAGTGTAAAGACTTCAGAACAGGACTGATGTGATCCACTCTCTTAGTGTCAGTGAGGAACCAGTGTAAGGACTTCAGAACAGGAGTGATGTGATCCACTTTCTTAGTGTCAGTGAGGAACCAGTGTAAGGACTTCAGAACAGGACTGATGTGATCCACTCTCTTAGTGTCAGTGAGGAACCAGTGTAAGGACTTCAGAACAGGAGTGATGTGATCCACTTTCTTAGTGTCAGTGAGGAACCAGTGTAAGGACTTCAGAACAGGACTGATGTGATCCACTCTCTTAGTGTCAGTGAGGAACCAGTGTAAGGACTTCAGAACAGGAGTGATGTGATCCACTCTCTTAGTGTCAGTGAGGAACCAGTGTAAAGACTTCAGAACAGGAGTGATGTGATCCACTCTCTTAGTGTCAGTGAGGAACCAGTGTAAGGACTTCAGAACAGGAGTGATGTGATCCACTTTCTTAGTGTTAGTGAGGACTCGAGCAGCGGCGTTCTGAATTAGCTGCAGCTTTCTAATAGATTTTTTAGTGAGACCTGTAAAGACACCATTGCAGTAGTCCAGTCTACTGAAGAGAAAAGCATGGACAAGTTTTTCCAAATCCTGCTGTGACATTAGTCCTTTAATCCTGGATATGTTCTTTAGGTGATAGTAGGCTGATTTAGTAACTGTTTTAATGTGACTGTTGAAACTCAGGTCAGAGTCCATGACTACACCTAGATTTCTGGCTTCATCTGTTGTTTTGAACATTGCAGACTGAAGCTCAGCGCTAACTTTTATACGTTCTGCCTTGGCTCCAAAAACCATTACCTCAGTTTTATCTTTGTTTAATTGGAGAAAGTTCTGACACATCCAGTCATTGATTTGTTCAATGCACTTACTCAGTGTTTGAATTGGAGCATAATCTCCTGGTGAAATTGTTACGTAAATTTGTGTGTCATCCGCATAGCTATGGTAACTTATTTTGTTGTTTTTCATTATCTGAGCCAGTGGTAGCATGTAGATGTTAAAGAGAAGAGGCCCCAAGATGGAGCCTTGAGGTACCCCACATGTCATATTTGTCAACTCAGATGTGTATTTACCTATAGAAATAAAGTTGTTTCTGTCCTTTAAGTAGGACTCAAACCAATTTAGAACTGTTGCCGAAAGTCCCACCCAGTTTTCTAGTCGGTCTAGTAATATGTTGTGGTCAACAGTGTCAAACGCAGCACTGAGATCTAATAATACTAACACTGAAGTTCTGCCACTGTCTGTGTTTAAGTGGATGTCATTGAAGACCTTTACAAGAGCAGTCTCAGTGCTGTGGTTTGGACGAAATCCTGACTGGAACACATCCAAACAGTTATTTAAATGCAAGAAGTTACTCAACTGTTGAAATACAACTGTTTTCAATGATTTTACCTAGAAATGGCAGGTTTGATATGGGCCTGTAATTGTTCATTACTGAGGCATCTAGATTATTCTTTTTTAAGAGCGGTTTAATGACTGCAGTTTTCAGTGCCTGTGGAAAAATACCTGAGTGAAGAGATGTGTTTACTATATGAAGTAGATCTGAGGCCATGCAAGGAAAAACATCTTTGAGAAATCCTGTTGGAATAATATCAAGGCAGCAGGAGGAGGATTTCAGAAGTTGAATAATGTCCTCTAAGTTTTTATCATTAATCTGATGGAATTGTGTCACGGTGTTTTAATTGATATTAGGTGGACACAGGGACAAAACATTTGCTGTACCTGATGTAGAGGCACTGACTGCTTGTCTAATTTTCTGAATGTTGTCAGTGAAGAAGGAGGCAAAATCATTGCACGCCCTGGTGGATAGAAATTCAGAGGCTACTGACACTGGGGGGTTAGTTAGTCTGTCGACGGTAGCAAACAAGGCACGTGCGTTGTTTTTGTTTTTGGTAATGATGTCAGAGAAGAAAGACTGTCGTGCGTTTTTCAATTCCAAATTATAAAGGCCAAGTCTCTCTTTATAGATTTCAAAGTGAACCTGGAGATTTGTTTTTCGCCACCTACGTTCAGCTTTTCGACACTCTCTTTTTTCTGTTCTCACGGTCATGGCCTTTCTCCATGGAGATATTTTCTTGCCAATCACTTCCTTTACCTTAGTTGGAGCAATGGTATCTATAACATTTTTAATTTTTGAATTAAAATGATCTACTAGCTCATTTACTGAGATGTTAGCAGGGGCAAGTGTGGATGAGAAATTATGAGTAAACATTTCTCTAGTATTTTCAGTTAAATATCGCTTTGTGGTTACCTCTTTCTGAACATTTGTGTGAACAGAAATAGAGCTCTCAAAGAAAACACAGGAATGATCAGAGAGTGCAATATCAGTCACCACAACCTTTGAGATATTCAGACCCTTTGAGATAATTAAGTCCAGAGTGTGCCCCTTATTGTGCGTGGGCTCCGACACATGCTGAGTCAGCCCATAGTTATCAAGAACACACAACAGTTCTTTAGCCCCTCTGTCCGGGGGGTTGTCAACATGGATGTTAAAATCACCAACAATGACTAGACGGTCAAAGTCAATACACACTATAGACAGCAGTTCAGTAAAATCATCAAACTAAAGTTGGGAGGGGTTGATTCGATAAGAACAGCTGCACTGTTATTTTGTTCAATCCATGTTTCCGTTAAAAACATAAAATCGAGATTGTGCTCAGTGATAAAATCATTGATTACAAATGTTTTTCCTGCCAAAGACCTGACATTTAATAAAGCCGTAATAAAACCCACATGGAGACGAGCTTCACTGGTTGACAGTTTATTGACATGTTACACTTCTTTAACCCCTTCTCCACCGAGAAAAAACAAAAAGACAGAACATTCAGAGAGCACTAAAAACAGATTCAGACCAGCAGGCAGAATACAGCCCAGCTAAAAATAAAAAGACCAGAGAGAGAGAGAGAGAGAGAGATGCTGTGCGTGTGTGTGATGGTTTCTGGAAAACAAAGCAACACACACACACACACACTCTGAGAGCCAGATATATGGACGCCTCACACACACTGCTGTAAAAAGGTGAGGTTCTTTTGGTGTGGAGCTTCTCAAAAACTTAAATTCCCCACACTGCAGTGAGTTAATACGCAGCCAACACTTCCTGCTGTGTGTGTGTGATGGTTTCTGGTAAACAAAGTAACACACACACACACACTCTGAGCCAGATATATGGACGCCTCACACACACACTGCCGAAGAATGAGAGGATCTTCTGGTGTGGAGCTTCTCAAAAAACGACATTCCCGACATTGCAGTGAGTTAATACGTAGCGAACACTTCCCTCTGTGAGTGTGTGTGTGTGTGTGTGAGTGAGTGTCCTCAGTGCTCCAGGCGGCCCAGGAAGCGCAGGTTGAGGATCTTCAGCTGGTCGTCCAGCTCCATCCGCACGATGCCGTCGTCTCCGTCGATACTGAGCAGGATCCCCGTGGCCTCTCTGTCCTCGCCCAGGATCACCTTCACCTGCAGAGAGGAGGGACATCAGCGTCACCATGACGACACACTGCTTTTACGTCTCAGTTGATATGTTATTAATTGCAGCTGAATTACTGTGGAAGTCCCTCGATGTGTGCAAGCTAAATATTAAACCATATGTGGCATGTGATGTCAGAAAAGGCCAGAGTATAACACAGGGTTCATACACTTTTTCACCAATGATTTTCAATGACTTTTCCATGACTTCTCCAGGACCTTTACCTCATTTTCCATGACCAAAGAAATTACTCTTTCTCAGCGGTACCACTGAAACATTTTTATTTCAACATGGAACAGGAAAATAAGGTCTGCATATGAAACATGTTGTGCCTATCTAAAACAAATCAAATTGGCTTACTAGCTTCTACAGGCTAAAGCAACTCAAATCTCTCACCAGCAAAATACCTCCTCAGTTAAATGCCATTTTACATTTCATTACTATACGATACAGTATTTATTATCATTATAGTATTACTATTTCAGCGATTAGATAAAATATAAATTATATTTGATGCAACTTTAGTTACATTTCCATTACTTTTCCAAAACTTTGGGAAAAATATTGTTTTCCAGGGCCTGGAATTAGCATTTTGAATTTCCATGACTTTTCCAGGTTTTTAATGACCGTAAGAACCCTGATAGTATTAAATAAAAGGTCTTAGCATCAAAAGATACTGCTTTTAATGTCTTAGTTTACATGTTATTATTATTAAAGTCCCCTGAAGTATAGTCATAAATATTTATAAACAAGTCATGAAAAAGCCATCAAAATGTCTTCAAATGTAATAAAAAGTCAGAGAAATGTTCAGTTTTGTAAGTCATCAAAACTCTAAATAACAAAATCTACATCCAAATGTATATTCAGTATAATATGTCATAGTAAGGTCAGAAAGTGAAAGTTTAATATGTCGTATGACAGTGTGTCGTAAAAGGAAGGAAGCGTCGTTTCAATCCAAACACGGCCAAAAGCACGAGGAGGAGATTTTAAAGGAGGTGGAGGAGGAGGAGGATGATGATGATGAAGGGTACCTTGTTGTTCTTGGTGGGGGTGACGGGCTCCAGGTGATCGCTGCTGATGCTGACCACCTTCTCAGACTCCTGCATGAACACCGAGCACATCCCACCCTACACACACACACACACACACACACACACACACACACACACACACACACACACACACACACACACACACACACACACACACACACACACACACACACACACACACACACACACACACACACACACACACACACACACACACACACACCACACACACACACACACACACACACACACACACACACACACACACACACACACACACACACACACACACACACACACACACACACACACACACACACACACACACACACACACACACACACACACACACACACACACACACACAGTTAATGCTGTCGTACAGAAACACACACTGCAGCCGAACATAAGCTTCAAAACAATATTACAAATATTTGACTTTTTGTGACATAAAAGTCTCAAACATCAAATTAACAACCAAAATGTTTCTTCTTGATGAAACATTATATTACATTTATATACCTTCTATTTATACAATGTTAACATTGGTAACACTGTGTGTGTGTGTGTGTGTGTGTGTGTGTGTGTGTGTGTGTGTGTGTGTGTGTGTGTGTGTGTGTGTGTGTGTTCTGGATATCAAACTGTGCTCTCCGTTTGAGGAATGAATTAGTTTAGACTTAAAAAGGTCTATAATAGTTTATTATTATCTTGTAATGTATGGTGTGTGTGTCTCTCTCTCTCTATCTGTGTGTCTCAGTGTGTGTGTGTGTGTGTGTGTGTGTGTGTGTGTGTGTGTGTGTGTGTCTCTCTGTCTGTGTGTCTCTGTGTGTGTGTGTGTGTGTGTGTGTGTGTGTGTGTGTGTGTGTGTGTGTGTGTGTGTGTGTGTTACCGTGACGCTCCGGATGACTCCGCTCTGCCCCATCAGGTCCATGAAGGAGTCTTTGATCTTCACTAAGATGTCGGGCGTGACCCAGTCGCTGCCGCCCTGCTCGATGTTGGACCCGGGCGTGTGAGGGTTGTACCCTCCGGGGGAGGGGGCTCCGGGGGTCATCGGACTGTACCCCACTGGACTGGGACTGGGACTGGCCTGGGGGGGGGGGAGAGGGGGGAGAGATACTACTGGTTAGATCTGAACCAATAATCACCATTCAATAAAGCAGGTTTCACCAACTCAAATGTAAGACTTTTTAAGACCACTTTGAATATCATTTATCTATTCTCACGTGTGCCTTGTATCTATTCTCACGTGTGCCTTTGACACTTTTCTAACCTTTTTATATTCCTTTCATCCTTCTCTTTCATCCATGTTGCATCCCCAGACAACACATTTTCATAAATAAAGTCAGACTGAAGCATCCTTTGTGCTCCAGTCCTCTCAGTGAACACAGAGCTGAGTCCAGATCAGATGCACGCTGAAGGCTCTCTCACCGATCCTGCTGTTATGTTCAATGCATTCATGTAGGGCTGTGCAATTAATCGTATTTTAATCTCGATTTTGGCTTGCAACGATTACGAAAACAACGTAATCGAAATAAAACGATAATTGTAATTATTATTATTATTATTATTTTTTTTTTTGGTTTTTCAGTTGAATTACACTTAAAGTTCAGGGTAATCAACTGTTAAAAACATACTGTTCACATTTTTGTTTCAATAAATGGATGTTTTCAAAGTAAATGGATAATCGTTTTTAATAATCGTGATATCAATTATTGACCAAAAATAATCGTGATTAGGATTTTTGCCATAATCGCACAGCCCTACATTCATGCATCGTGTCTTGAGATGTGTCTGTTGATGTCACACATGGAGCTGCTGGGATGCAAGGAGCATTTCAGACTTGATCTGACCGTTAAAGTGTTATCGTATATCGTACGAAATGAAATGTGTTTTAGGTTGACTTGACAAAATCTGTCCGGGGACTACAGATGAGAAATAGCTAACTCTTTTCACATTTACAGAAATGTTGATTGATGTTTTTCTCCTGGGTTTGTGCATTGTGTCGATGTTGAAGTTACACATGGAGCTGCTGTGAAGCAAGTCACTTGATCGGACCATTCAAGTGTTATCGTAATTCAGTCTTTGCGAATGAATATGAACGATATTGGCGTTTGAAGCGCTCACTCTAAAGCAGGGGGCTCAAACTCAAACTCATGGCGGGCCACATCAGAATTATCGTTGCACTCAAAGGGGCCGGTTGTAACTTGAAATATACAAATATATGTATTATATGACATTATTGGCTCTGCGTTGGTTAGTATCAGTTCTGGTAATAACTTCATAAATAACTACGTCTGAAAGCAGAAGTCTGAAAATCACCAAACGTTTGACACGCTCACTTTATATCACCCTATTGAATGTTGCCTTAGTGTACATTATTTCATTTCATAGTCTGCTCTTGTACAGATCCTATTCTGCGTCTGGATCTGTTTTTAGGGGTTCAAGAAGTGTAACATGTCAATAAACTGTCAACCAGTGAAGCTCGTCTCCATGAGGGTGTTATTACGGCTATAAACTCTTCATACATAACGTTTTTATAATTAAACTCAAGACAGTACTGGTTAGAACTGCACCATTAACCCCAATCCAGACGTATCAAATGAATATGAACGCTGTTGACGTTTGATTTGATTATTTGCATTGTTGGAGGAGCTCAGGTCAGAAGAATGTCATGACGATAAAACCTTTTGAATTGTAAATGTCTGATTACCTGGTACGCCATGGGGGAGGGTGTGGGGTGGTAGCTGGCGGGGGAATGTGTGTTCTGGTATCCCACCGGAGAGGGCGCCACCTGGTGGTAGCTCTGAGGGGAGGGGCTGGGCTGGTAGGAGCCCTGAGGGGAGGGGGCGGCGTACGGAGAGTACTGCTCCGTGTTGTACCTGAACACACACACACACACACAAACACACACACACACACACACACACACACACAAACACACAAACCGTTACAGAGGGTCTGAACTAGTGTTACTAAAACTATGACGACACTTGTTCGCCAACGACATTTTGTGTCTAAGACGAGACGGCACCGACGTCAGTAAACAATAACCGTAACGATAACATGCAATATCGCTGAGGAAAAAGGACGAGACGAAAATGTAGTTTACATAGACAAAAAGTTGACTAAAATAGTTCGTTTTCTTTGACTAAAATACGACTGAAATGTTCAGACTTTTAGTCGACTAAACCTTGACTAAATAAAACAGGATGAAGGTGACTAAATATGACTAACACTAACAAGGACATTTGACACAAGACTAAGACTAAATGAAAAAATAGCTGACAAAATGAACACTAGTCTGAACACCTGGAGGCGTCACACAGATATATTTCAACATGGTTTTACTGCCGGTGTTCTCGTTTGGACTTAGTACTTAAAGGGGCCCTATCATGCTTTTTGGGGTGTTCCCTTCCCTGTAGTGTGCTCTAAAGGGTTTTAGTGCATGTAAACAGTCTGCAGAGGCTAAAATCTTAAGATCCGGTTGTTACAGGAGAGCAGAATTACCTACGGAAATTTCCACCTCTCAAAAACAATTGACTAAAACCTGTGATAACACTTAAAAATCAGTGTTTCTCCCACAAATGATGTCCCCAAGAAGCCACTTAAAGTACGCTCAGCCCGTTCCTCTGATCATTTAAGATCCAAACGTTCAGGAGGTTTTCACCGCAGAGGAATTATACGCACAGGACATTTATAACTGATTAAAACAATAAAGGAAAATGAATAAAGCAGTATTGCAGAAGTCAAGACTAACATTTGAATTTGACACCAGAATGGGACAAAACATTTTAAACACGTTTGCTGATGACTGAGTGTGTTGAGACTCACATAGCAGGCGTGCCCGGCGTCTGAGGGTTGTACTGAGGGTTAACCTGAGGAGAGGGGACCTCTGGGTAACCGGGGGTCTGGGGGTTGGGGGTCCCGGTGTAACCCTGAGGGGAGGGGGACGGTTCATCGTCGTACCCAAAGTCATACTCCTCGTCATTCCTGGAGAGAAGACAGGATAACACCGTTAGAAATACAGAACAACGTGAAAATAAATACACACTTATTTAAAGGTCTCCTATGATACCGTTTTTAGGCATATATTAAAGGTCTCAGATATATACAAATGTATAAAAAACATGTCTCTGAAGTCTCCTGACACACCGGCGACACAAAGTTACGTATAAAAGACATCAAAAAGTGCATTTTGGATGATAGGAGCCCTTTAAAATAAATACTGTGCTGTGTGTGTGTGGCACATTTCAAAATAAAAGCCCAATACAGTTCACAGGAAGCTCAGGGTTATCATTTTTTTCAAACTAAAAGACCCAAGGGGGGACTATTTGCTTACAGGAAGCTCCAGGTGATGCATTTTTTCAAAATAAGAGCTCCATAGAGTAAGTGTATCCTTACAGGAAGCTCCAGGTGATGCATGTTTTTCAAAATAAGAGCCCCATAGAGTAAGTGTATCCTTACAGGAAGCTCCAGGTGATGCATGTTTTTCAAAATAAGAGCCCCATAGAGTAAGTGCATCCTTACAGGAAGCTCCAGGTGATGCATGTTTTTCAAAATAAGAGCCCCATAGAGTAAGTGTATCCTTACAGGAAGCTCCAGGTGATGCATGTTTTCAAAATAAGAGCCCCATAGAGTAAGTGTATCCTTACAGGAAGCTCCAGGTGATGCATGTTTTTCAAAACAAGAGCCCCATAGAGTAAGTGTATCCTTACAGGAAGCTCCAGGTGATGCATGTTTTTCAAAATAAGAGCCCCGTCACGCATCAATACAGCTAGTGCTATAAATGCCTAGGAAATGTGAGCACCAGAATGTTTACATGTGTAATGTCTGTGAGTGTGTGTGAGTGTGTGTGTGTGTGTGTTACCTGGAGGGTGTGTTGGGGTTGCTGGGGTCCCAGGCTCCGCTCTGACCCGGCGTCCTGCTCCCATCATGCAATGGGGTTTGAGAGCCGTAGTGAGGCGTGCGGCTTCCAGCTGGAGGAACAACAGAGTGAGAAATATGTTGTATTTCACTTGAATTATAAGTAACTTTTTCATTTTATTTACAATAGCTACAGGGTTTAAACGTATAGAAATAGAAATGCTAATGTAAACACACAAAAACAAAATTAAAGATAAACATATATACATATTTGGGTCATATATAAATATTAGATATGTGTACATGTATGTGTGAAAAGTGTGTATTTTATGTCCAGTACTTTGTGTCAAATAAAGATAATTATTCCCCCTCTCACCTTCTTGTACGGGCGTCTGAGAGCCGTACATGGGCGTTCTGGATCCCGTCCCGTACATCGGAGTCTGGGATCCGTACATCGGGGTGCGGCCGTGAGTCGAGGTCTGCCCGCTGTGCCTCTTAGCCCCCCTGAGGTGGAGAGGATGGAGGTCAATGTGAGGTTAGAGAGATGGCAAAAGCACACACATCCTTTACTCAAATAGACGTACAGATAATCGTGTTAAAAAATACTCTGGTGAAAGTAGAAGTACTGACTAAACTTCTTTACTCAAGTCAAAGTAAAGAGGCTTTGAAATGTACTTCAGTCAAAAGTACCCATAACTAGCAGCTGTTTTAAAGAGTACCTGACCTCCCTTTATATTAATAGAACAATAATGTCATTGTTAGCTAATGAATGTTTCCATGCTGAACAACGGCAACATGACAACGTTTTCATTGGTCCCTCTTCTTTAGAGAAGACCAGGAAATGATGGATACACGGATCGTGTTCAAATCAATAGGCACGCAATGACTCTAAATAATAATGATCACGCCACCAAACACACATTCAAACTAAAGGAACCAGCCTGTTTGGGAAATGTAACAAGTTTTTCATTGCCATATCTACACTGTAGCTAATGTGCACATGATGATGATGCCTTGAAACTTGATTGCCTAGGGACTGAAGATGGAAATACATGGTCCTTGTTGAAATTAATACATAATAATAATGTTTCGTACATGGTGGTGAGGCGCTGTCGATCCACTGAGATGGTCTGACAGGTCGAGTGCAGCTCAACGCGCGCCGTAGACTCTGTGGCGTCCTTCACCACCCCAATGTATCCTGGGAAATGTAGGAAAATGCATCATTCATTTAAAGAACAACAATTAGGACAGTTAAATACTTCTTTTGGACAAAATGAAAATGTTTTTGACACTAAATGCAGGATATTTGGTTGGGTAAAAATACGTTGTGAAATTTTAATCATAACATATCAATAAATGTTCACTTTTGGATTTAAAAATATTTTTTAAAAAAGGCTTGGAAAATGTGAGAAAATTACAGAAAAAGTTTTAAAAGTGTCTGAAAAAAAAAAAGTGTTTGGAAAAAGTGTGATAAAAGTTTTGAAATATGTTTAAAGGTCACCTATCATGCTATTTTTAGGCAATAGCATAGGTCTCAGATATATACAAATATATAAAAAACATTTATGTATAAAAGACATCAGAAAGTGCATTTTGCCTGATAGGTCCCCTTTAATGTCTCTAGTGTCTCACCTTTGTAAGGACCCTGCGAGATGCGGACGGTTTGACCAATCAGATCGTTGTCTCTTCGTCCTCGGCCCCGCCCCATTCCTCCTCCTCCTCCTCCTCCTCCCCCCCCCACCTCCTCCACCTCCTCCTCCTCCACCTCCTCCTCTCTGTGGAGAGCCTGCAGAACAAAAGACACAGTTCATTAACAAACCTTTAATTGATGTTCGTCAGCGGCTGCAGCTCAGACCATAGTCAGACATTAAAACCAATTCATCAATTAAAGTTCTTCTTAATTCAGTTTTATTGAGACTTATACAATAAAGCAGACCAATGAGATGAAGACTTCTGAGTTTAGAGTTTTCTGTTTGGGGAGTTTTGAGTTACTGTCTAATTTAAATGTACTTACTGTAACCCCACTGTATAGATGTGTGCACTTTTTACTTATGTTTAAATACATACTGTTGTTCTATTCTTTGTTATATTTTATTTCACAGTTTAACTTTTTAGGTTGATATAAATATTAGTATCCTATTTTATTTGTATCCTTTTTTTAATTTAACTTTTTTAGATACGTGTGCGTGTGAGTGTGTGTGTGTGTGAGTATGTGTGTGTGTGAGAGTGTGTGTGAGTGTGTGTGTGTGTGTGTGCATGTGTTTGTGAGTGTGCGTGAGTGAGTGTGCGTGAGTATGTGTGTGTGTGAGAGTGTGTGTGAGTGAGTGTGTGTGAGTGAGTGTGCGTGAGTGTGTGTGAGTGTGAGTGTGTGTGTGTGTGTGAGTGTGTGTGAGTGTGTGTGTGTGTGTGTGTGTGTGTGAGTGTGCGTGAGTGAGTGTGCTTGAGTATGTGTGAGTATGTGTGTGTGTGTGTGAGTGAGTGAGTATGTGTGTGTGTGTGAGTGAGTATGTGTGTGTGAGTGAGTGTGTGGGTGTTTCTCAATCGCGAGTAAAGCTGCTTCAGAGCCACTATTTCAAGCATACTACGTCATCGAGTGCCGCCGAAGGACTGTTCCAATCTCCAGTATACTTGGAAATCTACCGAGCCCGGCGTACTCCTTTTGGAGAAATATCGAGGCTGCACATGTGTAGACTCCACGGTCTTAAAATCCCCACAATGCTTTGCGCACGGACCAATTTCCCCAAATCTGTGGCGGAAGATGTAAGGAGGCGGGGCCTCTCATATGACGCACACCTGCACACTTGCTAGCCTGTTCCACTCTTTGTTTTCCGAATGTCAGGAAGTATTCTTGACTCGCTTCTGAAGCAAGATGCTCGGCAGACATGTGCTACCAAGCAAGCGTACTCGACATTGAGAAACACCCTGAGTGTGCGTGAGTGAGTGTGAGTGTGTTTATATGAATATTTATGTGTTATTTAATTTTAAAAAATGTGCACATCATAACTCAATAACCCCGTACGTTTATTTTTTTTCAATTAAACTTCTTATATTTATATCATATTTTTTATTGTATCTTTAATTGCACATTTTCCCTTTACAACTCTTCTCTAAATATTTGGATTTTATTTGGTTTTAAAATGTAGTAATTATCAGAAAACAAAGCTCCTCCGGGATGAATGAAGTACCCGAGTCCCGGAGGCTTTGAAGCCAGATACTAAAACTCCTGGCCAAGAGGAAATCCTTCAAGCGTGAGATTTGGATTTACTGAGTGAGATGGAATGTGTTTACCATGACAACACATCAACACAAAGCATACTTGAACAGCTGCAGCGTTCTAAGAAACTATAAACCCTGAAACATGAACTACTATTTGGCTGTGGCTTTGCAAGAGGAGACGCCTCTCGTCTGATTTACTGACACTAGAGCAGGGGTGCCACATCAGCATCATGGTTGCACTCAAAGGGCCAGTTTTATATATAAGACATTATAAAAATACATATATAAAATAATGTATTATATTACATTATTGCCTCTGCATTGGATTATTATCGGATAGGGTAATAACTTCATAATTAACTACGTCTGAAAGCAGGGTTAGGTAAGGGTCTCTTCAGTGAGAATGTCACAAAATGATTTAAAAGAAAAGCCAAATTCTGGAAAAAAAGTAAAAAGAAAAAAAAAGAAATGACATTTCGAAAAAAAAGTCAGATTCTGAGAAAAAAATAATGTTTTGAGATGCATTGTGGGACATGTAGTTTATGGGCAACGTGCTTCTGTAAATCGGCATGTAACCGTATAATAAACATGTTATATTTTTCATGCTCTTGTGGGCCCACAGAAAATGAAGTCATGGGCCGGATTTGGCCCCCGGGCCTTGAGTTTGACACCCCTGCGCTAGAGACTGAGGAGACTTAGGCCCCACTCACACGGGACCGTTTGCGTTTATGCACAGTATGCGTATTCAAAAAAGTCTTCCGTTCACATGCATTAGTTTCATTTAACGTGTCTGTTCAAACGAGGCCGCTGGAAACGCTGTAGTACATATGCCGGGACTGTAAGTGGCGCTGTAACTTCCGCCAAAATACACCAAAAGCAGCGAAGAAGAGCAGCCCCGCCGCAATGTTGCCATGGCTACCCTTCTGTTTATGCCCCGCGGTGTATTTAGCAACATGTAGTTCATGTAATTCTCCATGTCCACTTGTTGCTGATGGTTGTGGTAGAGGAGCTGTATATTTTGCACTAATATCTGTAGCATGGTCAGTAGCAGTAGCACTAGCAGTAGCTACTGACAGGAGGAAGTGTGTGTGGCGATTGCTGGTATTCAGCGGGATATAGTCATTTCCTCAGCATATGGATAAATGCAACGGGGAAGTTAACTGAAAGAAACCGAATCTGTGGATATTGCATCGACCGACCAAGAAGCACGTCTCTGTGGAGAGGACGCGCTCAGAAAGAGAGATATTCTCTACAAACACCGGGTGAGATCCTCCTTTGTCAATATAATGGATCAATGCATGAAATCTGACTCTGTTTATTTTTGTTTAAGGAGTATATTGGGCGTTAACTATTCTGGTTTGCCTTTTATAATATTATTTCATTCAAGAACCCCTTGTGCGTTTAATTAACACAGCTATTTTTGATAGTTGCTACAGCAGTGAGCAGGAGAGGTGGGGAGAGGCGGGGCTATCGTTATTTTTTCAGGAAATATTCGTATCGAGGTGATTACACGGACTCGGTTGACCCCCCAGAGCTTTTCGTTTGCAAATCTATCCACCTTGGGACCCGTTATTGTTTGTGGGGTCAGTTTCTATCGGCCTCGTGTAAATAATAGGGCTATACGCACGCGAAACTATGCAGATACAAGCAGTTTTCTCCTCGTGTAAATGGCGCCTAAGGGATTTAAACAAGTCTCTTCCACCTCTTTATGAACTGTAACACCTGTCCCAGAAGCTCAGACACTGATTGGTTCAGCAGACGCAACATTAAAATACAACAAGGAGATAAAGCAGATCTTTTTCCTGCTGCAAATACACAGACAACTACAAAACCAGGATATTAAAATCAATACAAATATTTTCCATTATTAACTGGATGTTACAATGACTGTATTTTGTGATAACATACTGTACTTCTACTTATTTCTAAATATTTTTAATGTTAAAAACAGTCCTATTTTTGGTCCTTTTCTTAAATGTTTTATTTCCATTCTGTGTTTTTATATATGTACCTTATGCATGCATTTACCATTCCAAAAACTTCAACACTTGGGATCAATAAAGTACCTCTTATCTTCATATACCCCAAAGCAGATCTTTTTCAAATACAGAAAAGAAACTACAAAACCAGTATATTAAAATCAATACAAATATGTTCCATCATTAACTGAATGTTACACTGACTGAAACATCCCTAATCTTTATTTATTGATTAGATTGATTGATTTGGGGCTGTAATACATTTAGCTTTGATTTGATGTATTTAGAGTGTACTCACTTCCTCCTCCGTGGTGCATGGGGCTGGTGATGCGAGGACTCATGGGAGCGAATCCTCCCACTGTGAAGTTGGTCACGTCTCTGGGCTGAAAGAGTACACAGATTTACAGAAGGGAAGTAATTTAAAACATATATTGAAGGAAATATCACATTCTGAGGGTTTAATTAACACTGTACGTACATTAATGACTAGTGTTAACCTGTTAAGCCCTGAGCCTGTTTTTCAGGTCTCAGGCTCGAAAATGCCATTCCCAGAACAAATGACCATATCTTCCCTTCTAAAAGGGGTAAATTAATAATCTTTATTCTCAAAGTAATGATAAACCTGTGAGTTGGATGTAGAAAAGTCAGAATCAATATAGATGTTTATTATTTTAAAGAAAATTCAGATTTTACAAAAATTATTTTTTACTTATAGTGAAAACTACCCTTGGATAGGGCTGTGCAATTAATCCTATTTTAATCGCAATTACGATTTTGGCCTGCCACAATTACGAAAACAACATAATCGAATAAAACAATTATTTTGCTTTGCTTGGTTGTGACAGTGCAACATATTTGATCTAATTTATTTTTGATCTAATTTATTTGTATTTATCATATTTATATATGATTAGTAGCTTTTGGAAGTGTGCTCCAAAATATTTGTTGATCTTGTTTATTGGTATTTATTATTTTGATATTATTTATATAAAGTTTTTCAGTTGAATTATACGTTCAGGGTAATCAACAGTTATAAGATACTGTTCAAATTATTATTTGTATTTGTTTTAAAGTTCAATAAATGGATGTTTTCAAAGTCAATGAATAATCGTATTTAATAATCGTGATATCAATTATTGACCAAAATAATCGTGATTATGATTTTTGCCATAATCGCACAGCCCTACCCTTGGATGATGGGTTAGTATACTAAAAGCTTTAGGAATCCAAAGTACAACATATAATAAGTACCCTGTATCAAGATTGATGCAAAACAAGTGACATTTGACCTTTTTAGAGAGATTTAGCAAAAAGAAACCACTTCTGGGGTCATTTGGGTGGATTTTACCTATCGCTGGCCCCCCTTGCTCGATTTTGATGGTTGACACCTCTTTCTGACCGTTAGAGCCAATAGAATCGAAGGGGGAGTCCCCCACACACACACGTTGTGAAGCGAGAAGGTGGGGGCTTCGCGCATGTAATTTAGCATCAGAGTGAAGCTACACTCTAGCTCTGACATCTGGAAACGGAAAAGCAGTTTTAATGCTTATGGATTATCAGAAATCATTTCAAAGGGACACAGACACATTGGATTAACTTCAGCAGCGTTTTTATCGTTTTAATGCCATTGAAGACCACTTTGGAGAGACTACAGAGCCAAGGTAAAAATGTTAGCATTTTTAGCTACCTAGCGTCACCTGTTTTGATGTCCGTTTTTGCTTATAACGTCGCAAATACGTATAATTTAGTGTTAATGTGGGTGTCCATAGATTCTGTGTCACCTCACGATGTGAAACGATGTGTTGGATGTGGAGAAAAGATAAATAATAAGGTTTTGTGAGTGATTTTCGATGCAGTAATCTGTTAGCATTTTTCGCTCGTTGCTAATTCAGAGGCTCAGTGTTAGCATTGTGGGTTTTCTTTTGGAAAAAAAAATAAAAATGATCAGTTAGATGAGTTTCTTCCCGTTACATGGATATAAAACATTCATAGTTTATTAAATGAACATGCCCTCAGACACTGTTTCCTGCAAGATGTTGCGGCAGTGCCCCGGTACCGGGGTCTCTCGGGCTTAACAGGTTAAAGCACAAACACGCTCTCCTTCGTCATAAACGTATATATACGTGTCAGGTGTTGGTTCTAGAAAGATAAAGTACGAGTACTGTGGCGCTATATAAATGATCGAGAACATGACGCCTGTATACATAACAGAAATTACAGATTTGTATTGACGACAACTACAGGGTTGTGTATGTAACAATAAAGCTTTTGTCATTATCAATACAAGCTAAGTGTTTGGAGCTAATTAAGGCTGTTGCCAACGTTATGAATGGCTTCTTCCAGACCACATATGGAAGGATGTATCCTCATGGTGAGAGCTGCTAACCGCACTAAATCACTGCAGGCAGCAACATCGTCTCATTTAGAAACTTGTTAGCATCCCCCATTTTTAAATCCACCAGTGGGGTATTTACTGACGTATTTTATGTCGTAGAACAAAACATTAAAATCTCATCAGCTCGTGTTAACCACAGACCTGATTATAAGCAAAAACACATTCAGGAAACCATTAACGTGAAGAGGAGGGAACAGTGAGTGGTAAAACCCTGACTCATGTAAGGGTTTAAAGGTCCCCTATTATCCTCTCTTTCATCAACATATCACAGGTCTCAGATATATCCAGAGCCTGTCTCTGATTGGCTGAAACACCAAACAGATCATTGCAGCATTACCCATAATCCCCTCTGTTTCAGCCCTGTTTCCAAAGTGCTGATTCTCTGTCTGTTACTTTAGATGAAAATAAGGAGCCCCTCCCCACGCCCCTCTGAGAGAGATTTGGTTACAAAGAACTCAATTGGCGCGTTCACACCGGAGTACTTTTCCCACAATAGTTCATCAGAACTCAGATATATTTGCGTTCACACCAAAAAGCCCCCTGAACTAAATTAGTTCATCAGAACCATTTTTACCCCCTTTTCAGTCCCTGCTAGAGAGCAGGTACTTTCGTGGGAGAAAAAGGTTCCTGGCTGGGCGGATTGTAAACCACGCCCCGTAAAACTCCCAAAAGGTTTTGTGAAGCCGCCATTTTATTATCCTCGCATTAGCATTATTAGCATTAGCCCAGCGCACAAACGCAGAGAGACTAACTTATGGCAACACAAAATAAAACATGGGAGCGGTGGAGATGAGGAGGTGTCTGCGTTCTGGTGATTTACTCGGAAGGCTTCAGTAGAAGCTGCTGGGAGTCCCAGCAGCTTCTACTGAAGCCAGTCCCCAACTCCGGGGACTTCCGGCCGGGGACTTCGGGTGGCAGTATACGCCGTGAAGTTGTTTGCGGCCTGCCAGTAAACCCAAAGCAGAAGAAGAAGAAGTGACGTCAGCGGCTCATTTGCGTAATCTTCCCCCAGGGACTAATTGCGGTGTGAACGCGATCTGCTTTAGTTCATCAGAACTAAAAGAGTTCTCATGAACCTTTGTGGGAAAAGTACTTGGTGTGAAAGCGCCTAATGGGGCTCTAGGAGGAGATTCAGGTGATAAGGTGGGGGGGGGGTTACCTTGGTTGCTGATTGGCTACTTATACTCAAATGATTATTTCCCTACCTCACATTAAATCAGATGTTCTTTATGCTATAAACAACCAAACGTGTGTTTCGTGATAGCATTCTACATGAGGATGAAAAATTAAAGAAAAGAAAACTAAGTTTAATATTTCAAAATGAGTGACCCATCTGTACGTAGACTGGGCATCCCATATAACCTGGCTGAGCCAATATAAAACAATCAGCCAAATAACTTTTCAATATATTATTGATTACTATTTTTGAGGTACTTTTAGGTTGGCAGTAAACACAAGTCAGAGGTACATGGTGTACTTTTCCTCCACTACATGTATTTAATACCTTTAGTTACTTCACAGATGTGGATGAATGATGTGAAATATAATCAAGTGTTAAATCAGACTTTAGTTCCACCTGGAGTAAATCCACAAGCTACCCTGCAGTATACAAAGTCATTCAAACTAGCTGCACCTTTACCAGCTTTGAGAACACTTTCATGATCAATCATTATAAAACATATCATATATATTATTCTGAAATGGACCAATCTGCACAATGACTACTTTTACTGTCGCTACTTTCACTATATTTTGATGAGAATACTTTTCTACTTTTACTTGAGGAACATTTTGAATGAAGGACTTTTACTGTAACAGAGTATTCCTACACTCTGGTACTTCTACTTTTACTCAAGTACAAGATCTGAGTACTTCTACTTTTACTTAAGTACAAGATCTGAGTACTTCTACTTTTACTCAAGTACAAGACCTGAGTACTTCTACTTTTACTCAAGTACAAGATCTGAGTACTTCTACTTTTACTCAAGTACAAGATCTGAGTACTTCTACTTTTACTCAAGTACAAGATCTGAGTACTTCTACTTTTACTCTAGTACAATATCTGAGTACTTATTCCACCTCTATCTGTATATATTTGTTTCCTTCTAATTTGTTATTATTTGTGACCCTCTCTATCGAAATCAGTCAAAAGTCTCAACGGCTCATTTAAAAAATAAACGTGGATTTGTGTAAAAAAACTAGTTTTTCAGGGTTCGGGTGTTTTGTTTGATTTTAAATAAACAAAGTCTTGGATTTCAGAATATGAAACTGTTATTGCCAAAATCTCATGATAAATACATGTTTGAAGCTTGTGAAGGGAAGAAAGCTATAAAGCTTTGTTTGGTAAACTCCCGTATTGTATCTGCTCTCTGATCACACAGAGAGTTGCAAGCAGCTATTGTCTGAGATCACATGATGTAGTCTTGTTACATGTGCCAAGAGCAAGGACTGTCTTCGGTGAGACAGCTTTCATGTGCAGCTCCACTTGCTTGGAACAGTCTTCAGCAAGAATTGAAACTGAGCAATCTCATTCCTCTGCATGTTTTTAAAGCTAGGCTAAATGAAATGCTCGTTGATACTATGGGTACTTGTAAATGTCTATAACTATGTAAATGTATCCTGTAAATATAATGTATGATGTCCTTTATTGTTTTATGTTTCATGTGGAACCTATTTGCTGCAGGTCTCCCTTGAAAAAGAGATCTATGATCTCAATGGGACCATCTGGTGAAATAAAGGTTTGAAATGAGAAGAGGCACCTCTCAATTCGCACCCTGCTCTTCCGCTGAAATTATGAAGTAAGGGCGTATAGTAGGGATGTCCCGATCACCTTTTTTTGCTCCCGATCCGATTCCGATCATTTGATTTTGACAATCTGCCGATACCGATTTTTCCCGATCCGATCTTTATGCAATGCAATAAGAGGAAAAAAAAGGTAACAGATAACGGCTGGTCATCCAACGCGATGAATTCAGCTATCTTGGCTGT